CATAGAATGAAAATTAAATTCCATCTCCAACGAGTTCAACATATTGCAAATGTATAATTTTTCTTAGACATATAGGACTTAATCTGTATATTAGGGTAGCGATATCGAATTTTCATCTAGCTCACGAGCTTTTCCACAGATGATAAAGCCGTCAAGATTAATAGCCATTTTCAGTCTGTGGACTTCTGAATATCCAAAGCCAAAATAGGTCGCGACTCCTCTTCTTTACATGTTATATGGCGGAGTATTTCAACTTGTACCCTATCCATATCTGTCCTCCTCTGTCAAAAAAAAAATGATCAGGAATAGCGGCATAAACTCTCGTAAAACGGAAGTAATCTAAGATCTAAGTAATGATGATCTAGAATATCAATAAGGACAGAGTATAAGTCCTTTGCATAATAATAGGATCAACGACGCCGTCTCATACTCAATGACTGAACCGACTGTTCTGTAGCAGTCACATAAATAACAACAACAAATATTGTAATAACTGAACTTTCAAAGAATAATCTGTTCAAACGAATATCGCTCCACTCGTGAAGTATTTAAAAACTAATTTCCAATTTAACAAAACATTTACCGGATTAAACTCTTTTTGAATCCCGACTTTGATATGTAGAGGTTTTATAGTTAAGCTATTTTAAACTTTAAGTGTATGCGTGTAAAGTTTGAATTGACTTGACAGTTTCGAAACGTAAAATTTTACGACGACATTAAAATAAAGTGGGAAATCCGAAGGCAGTGATACAAGCAGAGTCAAGCAGATGTCGGCGTTGATACAAACTCAATTATTTACACTCTATAAAAAGGACATTATACGTGTATTAGAAATAAACCTCGTACGGACAGACGGTGAGGCTGTTTACGATGTATCGTTATAGGAACGATTAAAATCGGATAGCGGCCTTGTAAAAAATAATTGTAGCTCTTATTAAACTTTAAATGTAACTTTTAACGGTTTAAAACGACGAAATATGAAGTAACTTATTTTCAGTGGTGCGGCGGACTGATCGGTAGGCGTTCGCTACGCTAACGCCATTTGTGTTGTAATTGATATTTCCAGAAATTCGCTGTGTTATTATAGGACTTACTCACTCTTGAGTCTCTTGACTCAAGCACGCAACAGCACGGAACGCTGTAGATGCCGGGTCAAGTTCTGCCCGTGTCGTAATTATTTTTTTTCAATCGAAGATCGATTTTTAATTTTTTCATCTGGTTACTCCCTTTGGGACATATAGCGAACACACTTCTGTGGCTTTTACTGGTTGGTTATATTCTCAGACCTCAGTGTCCTTCCCAACCCAAACAATTTTGTACCTATTGTAAACGAAACCATGACACATCACTAGGCGTGGCACAAAACGTTGTATAAGTTAAACGAATGCTGTCTTCGGTTGTATTTAAAGATCTTATTAAAACTTAAGCATCGCAGATTAATATTTAAGCTTTTAAAGTGTAATAGCATCAACTTAATTGTACATCATATTATTTCCAGCTTATTTTAACTTCATGTTTTACCGCTGGAATCCGATTAAACGCTATTTTTAGCAGCGTTCATAGTGATCTTCATTTTAGATAGACGAGTCCAATATAAGAATGATTTAAAAATTAATAAGTCAGAACTGTAATATTTTGAATCCCAGATATTTTCCTATTGCCTATTAGTGTGATGAGGCAAACACATTTTTGTGTCTATTAATCTATTTTAATTGGGTACCTATAACATTGTGTAGAGGATAGACCTTACGTATAGGAACGGATAGGAACTATGTTTAGCAAAGAAACAAAAATACAAAATAAAATAAAATTAATGATATCGGCAAGACTCGAATCTACCTTACTACCCAGAGCGTTTGTAATATTCCAACTACTTTGAAAAGTATAATTTTAGGTTTTTAATTTTTATTTTAGGTTTCGACTGCTTTGCAGCAAACGTCGAAACGTCGGGCCGAAGTTAAAAATCATTTTCAAATAAGTTTAACTAATATATCGCGTTTTAAACCGTTAAAGCCCATTGCTCTCCATTCTAGTATATAGGTTTAATTTGTAATATTTTTATTTTTTGTGCAATAAAGAATATATAAATAAATAAATAAATAAAGTGTTTTATTTAAATGTGTACTACTCGCGTAAACTATAGACAGTATATCTGTATTTTAAAATTCAACTTACCTTTACAAGTGTTACGTTTCATTTAATTTATAATACGCATTGAAGAGCCATTAGTCGGCAATATCTAGGTAGATATAATCCACCGTGTTGAATCGAGTAACTTTTATGGCGTCCTTGACTCGGCCACGGCAAATCGAGTAAAAAATCACAGGTAGAGGCAAATATTTGTGAACGATTTGTTTAATTCACACTTAATAACAAGATGGAAGCGATTTTTTATCTGTGCGATCGAGTAGAGCGGCGCGGGCGGCGGCTTCAAAGGTGAATTTAGACCAATATGTGCAAACGTGATTGCGTCTACGAGATATCGACAAAAAACTTGTAAAATTAGGGTTTTTTGACACATTTTTGACGATTGTCTGTGGGCCTAGAAAAACTTTGTATCACTTATTTACTTAAATATTGTAGGTATGTGTTATAAAAAACTACGTTTGATTATGCTTTCTATAGCTTCAGTTAAGTTTATTACGTACCTATTTATAGTCTTTGTTTTCTCACTGAAAAATCATAAGGTACTTTTTATGTTAGAGTAGGCCAGACCAGCGTGAAATTCACTTGATGGTAGATGAACCCGGCCATCTAACATCTAAACAAGATTCACTGTTGACCTATTTTGCTTCGATCTATATTCGGATATAGATATGGATTCAAAGACTGTGTCCATGTCCCAAATAAAAATTCGATAATCGATATCGGGCAGAGCATAGAAATCTGATTAACTACTATACTAACTAAATAAATCGATCAGTAAAGCAAACACACAAATGCGTTCGCCACATGCCTTACTGACGAAGCGGATCTTTCCATGATGTAGTGACGTAATATTAGGTAAGCATGTAACGCATAACAATTTTAAAGCAAAACTTACGTCAAAGCTGTAGGAACGAAATAAGCAACCATTAGTTGAATTGAAAATGACATTACGACCGAAACGAATGCGCCACAATGCTTATAAAATTGCATTGTAATATTAAATTAAATGGATTACGAAGCACCCTCTCTTTTAAACACATTTTTTTACTTTAAATTTCGCATACAACGGCTTTAAAGGGTTTGGAAGTTTGTAAGCAACGTTTTTATTTATTTTCTATTTGAAAAAGTAGATATGCTGAAACTTGAAAGCGATGATATAAATACAATTCATGAACCAATAAGACTGTAACTGTAAAACAATATTATTTATTAGATTTGAGGTAGTTATTAAAAAAAATTGATCATGCGATCAAATTTTATGTATATTAGGTTAATTAAAGTTAAAATTACATTTTTATACTTGTCACGATGGATTTCGTTGCTGTACATACATTTCACTTGTCAATTTTATTTACAAACATTTGACCACAATATGCAAGACTAAAGAAGTCCGATTTTCGAGGATTTAAACACAGGACTAAACGTAATTATTTCCATTTTGTGATGGAGAGGGTTGTCTATACATCTATACTAATATACAAAAGCTGAAGAGTTTGTTTGTTTGAACGCGTTAATCTTAGGAACTACAGGTTCGAAATGAAAAATTCTTTTTGTGTTGGGTAGATCATTTATCGAGGAAGGCTATAGGCTATAACACATCGTGGTTTGGCTAATAGGAGCGAAGAAACAACGGGCAATGTGAAAAAACGGGGAAAATTATTTTTCACTATTTCTTTCCGAGGCGTATGCTGCAAGAACGGTTCAAGATACCCAAAAAATATGTATCAAAGAACTAATCCTCCTTAAGTGATCTAAAATAAAGTCCGCGACGCTATGTGTCTATCTTTTAGGATTACCTTGCAACAACGACGGGAACGGACGCAACCGACGTCGTGGGCAACAGTTTAATTTTATATAGATGAAGGTTTGCAAAAACGAATTTGGATACCCAAAATAACGATTCTAGCAGACTAAGTCGCTTACATAGCTTGTGTTAAATAAAATTTAAGTCCCGACCACACTTATAAGAAGAAATTTGACTTGTCACTCTCTCAATTGAATTAATGTATGTTATCTTTATTTATTATATTCATTATTGCTTTATTATTTATAAAATACACCACAGAAAATACATATTAATTTGGAAAAATCTTACGTACCTACTAACTTATAAATAAAGGCGGACTTGTTGCTAAGTTTAGTTCTTATAACTAATTTACGATGACTAAGTATATGTATAAATGAAATAGTTAAGAATATATATTAAAAACACATTTTTGCACACACAAATAAAAGACAAAGTATTACTAAATTAATTATTTACATTAAGTTAGAGCGAAGGCGGCTTCATCGGTTATGGCGATTTCTTCCAGCCAACCTTTGAATATTCGGTTTCCACACAACTTAGGTACATGCTTTATGAATATTAGATAAGTACATATTTCTATTTAAGTAACTACAAATGTGATTCATCAACTACGTAAATAGCCGAATAGCATTGAAATAAATGTATACTTATAATAGAACATAAAGCTTAGCTTCTATACATAAAACATCCATCTCGCTTTACATAAGATCGTTACAAATCAGGCAATAACGATCGAACAATCCCAGCGCGCTCTCAACACCGCTAAGTACTCCTTTAATCATTGCAATTTCGAAACAAACTCAAGTGTCGGTGTCGAATAAATTCTGTATAATGTAAACGTGATAACAATTTAAATTCTTCTGTAACGGGCCCGTAGCCGACAAAAACAACAAACAAACGGCGCGAGAGGCGATTGGCGCGCGAGGCTCGGGGCGGCGCCTAACCGGCCGCCACGCCCGACCGAGCCGTCGCCGCTCCTCACTCCGCCAGTTCTTATCTTCCATTACCTCGTGTGAGACGTGCTGAGAAACGCACGTGCCAAATAATGCCTCGCCCGACGCGCGAATCTTACGGCGACCAGAAACCGCCGTTCTCGTACATCGCGCTGACCGCCATGGCCATCTGGAGTTCGCCGGAGCGAATGCTCCCGCTGTCAGAGATCTACCGCTTCATCACGGATCGGTTCCCGTACTATAGACGAAACACCCAGCGGTGGCAGAACTCGTTGAGGCACAATCTCTCGTTCAACGATTGCTTTGTGAAGGTTCCGCGGCGGCCTGACCGGCCCGGTAAAGGCGCTTATTGGACGTTACACCCCCAGGCGTTCGATATGTTCGAAAACGGGTCTCTACTCCGCAGACGTAAGAGATTCAAGCTTCACAAGGGAGAGAAGGACAGCTTGAACGCTGAACTCGCGGCGTTGGCAAGTTTTAACAGAGCGTTCCTCGCTAGGCAAGCTGGGTCTGCACCAGGGATGGGCAGTAGCATGTATGCCCCAATGTCAATATCTAGACCTAGTCCTGAACCGATGGATGCGCCGGACACAGCGGCTCTGCTGCCAGCCGGTCCGAGACCTAGACGGGCCTTTACAATCGACGCTTTACTGGAACCAGAACCTCGACAGTCACCGTCCCCTCCTCCGCCGCAGCAGCCACAGCCCCATTACCCGATGCCCCTGCCAGCGCCATATTTGCTGGCAGCTCAGAGGTATCATGCAGAACTGCTTGCGGGTCTGCAGCAGTCCTGTCTCCCACCCTTATGGACGTGGCGGGATACAAGTCAATTTTCACATTATACGCTTAATTCATGAATGGTAAGTTATCATTTGGAATTAATATATTATAGAAAGACATGGCCATGTTTGTGTGGTGCTGAATCAGCTACGTTAGGTTCGAATCTAAGGGAAACACGTTTATTCGTTCGTAAAAGCTCACCACTGGACTTTGAATGTTCAATGAAAATGGTAGAAGATTAACTACTCATTTAAAAGTTTAAAATCTATGTTCACTGAATCACACTGTGCATCACGGTAGATAAATTGGTTAGAATAGCAGCACGGTAAACTGTGGATGTCGGTTGAAGCCCCGACCGTGCTGATTTTTTCAATGTAAAAATGTTTTTTATTCAAATAATGTGAAAAAATAAATACATTTTCAAACATATTTAATATTGTCATATATTCTCTAGAGAAGGAGCGATAGATTCAGTTGTAATAAAACAGCAATTAACAAAATGCACTGTCAACCTCTTTGCTTTTGGATATTCGGCAATCCACAAAATCTTATGGGATAAGTTTTGTCTTGCGGACTTCCTTAATACCTGAATACTTTTACAAGAAGTTTTGATAGTAGATTTACCAATAAGCACGTGTTTAAAAGACAATCGTACAACTGTCTAGCTAAGCTTAAAGCTTATGCATGTCTTAAAATCCAGATCCAATGTCAAGTCAGTCTAGATGGTACGTCGGCATTGTCTAAAGACATTTTCTAGTACCTTTCCATTACGACACTTAGACGGTGGTATCACCTCCACTGAGTGCATGTTACGCCTTCGCGTCGGTCCCAATTATTATTACTAATTTAGTGGCACTAGTCGATAAACCCACCGATCTGGTGTGGTGGGTTTCACCCCCTGCGTTTAAGAAGTGGGATATAAACAAACGTCTGTATTTAAACTTCATGGCATAGTGAAACATTCTTATTAGAACACCTGTATTTACCAAAATCATGGTAACTATCTATACTAATATTATAAAGCTAACGAGTTTGTTTGTTTGAACGGGTTTGAATAAAAAACCCCTTTCTGTGTTGGATGAAACATTTAGCGTGGATGTCTTTAGGTTATATAACATCACGTTGCGACCAATAGAGACAAGTCGCGGGGATAGCTAGTATTGAAGTAAATATTGATTTGATACCTCTATACGTATGAGGTTAAGTATATACCTAAAAGATCTACTCACGAAGCGAAGTCAAGTAATCCACAAAGTCTACATTACGACATTACATATACCATGACAAATAAAGAAATTTTGATGATAGGATGATGGGGGACAGGCAAGCCCATGCTCACTTGATGGTAAGTGAATTAGCTCACAAGATGCACTGTTTACCTATTTCAACTCACCATTCGAAAATCAACAGACTGCATCCGAAACGCCATTGGAAATCTCGATCTTGTTCGTGTTTCATCCGTGGACGGTGATTCGTGAACCCGGACGGAATTTAGATACCACTTATTTAATACCCAAATTTCCAGACAAGTCCATGTTAAGAAAGAACAAATTGATATGTTAAACCAGGTGGGGATCGAACCCTCGACTTCTTGATTATTAGCATATTGCCACCATTAGACCAACGAGACCATTAGAGGCCGTAGAATATCTAAGATACGATAAAAAACATTACTATTTTTTCATTCTACAAAAATAACATTAATCCGTTAACAATGATACAGTGTCTAATATTTGGAAAACATATTTTCCTTATGAAGACTAAGTAGAAACATCGAAAGGCTTTGTTGTATAACAAATGAAATAACAAAGAAAACAGTTTTTTAGACTAAGCTTGTTATTCAACTTTACTTGCCAATTTTTAGTCATAAAGGAACAATGACTGTAAGAAATTAGACTAGAGTACTTTAGGATTACACGTTTAAATAAAACAATTTTAGCGGTTTAAAACGCGAAATATATTCTTACAACTTACGATTAAAAAACTCGGCAGCTCAATTGGTAGAGCAACAGCACGGAAAGCTGACGATGCCGGTTCAAGTCCTGCCCGAGTCGAAAAATTTTTAAATTTATTTTCGATTTTTAAATTAACTAACGATTAATTTATTTTAACTACAGCCTGATGTTTCGAATGCTTTTAAGCCGTGGTCACAGGAAGTTAGTGCTGTAAAGCACCTAAAGCATACATAGCGTACGTTATATAAATGTGATTCAAATAAGAGAAGAGAAGAATTGCATGGCATGGCAGTTGAGCATTGGCTATTTAACATAAGGGGGCTTACCTATATCTCGTAGCACTATCAACGATAATAAATATACTACTCTCAAATATGTATATATCTAATTAAAATCAACGGATCAAAGTAAAGTAACTACTAACTAGTAGTAAGTCTTAGGCGGTTAGCCAATACGAAATTGTGTCCGTATCACTAAGGATTTCGTTAACAGATAGGGTTACTGTGCTTTACCGAACAAACAAATTTCCTTTTTTACCCGGGACGCAAACCTAGAACCCTCTTATAGTTAACGTAATGCAACACGTTTTAAATACATACAGAGTTTTGTTTAAATAGAATTTATTAAACTAAAGAAGTTACAGTAACATACAGCAATAATTAATGTTGATACATTAATCATGATGTTTAAATATAACACTTTAACGGTTTAAAACGCGATATATTAGTTAAACTTATTTGAAATCATTTTCAAATAAGTTTAACTAATATATCGCGTTTTAAACCGTTAAAGTGTTTTATTTAAATGTGTACTACTCGCGTAAAATATAGACAGTATTTAATCGTGATGTTATTTACTAAAGGTGATATTCCTCCCATAGTATTAGTTTTGTATATCTTTTGATGACCTAACTATGAATTGATGTTACTCAAAAGCTTCTCACGTCTTCTCAAACTTAAACGTCGCAATGAACAAACAGACACTATGATCTACAGGCGTTATAAACAAAATGTTATTTTTAATTTAATTTAATAAATAATAATATAATAAGAATGTTATTTTTGAGTGATAGGTGTATGTATGGGTTGAAAAAATTCGACGATGACGTATAGATACGGTAGCTAGATTGGTTAGAGTAGTAGGACAGTGGATGCAGGTTCAAATCCCGCCGTGTAATTGATTGCCTAAATATATTTTAGATAAATAGGTATTTGAGTTTAAATAATTCAATTTTCAATCTAATATGATTACGGCTCGACGTTTCATGTCCAAATGTTTTCCCAAATGTCAAAGTCATTACTGCTGCGCTAGCGCCATTTGTTTCGTCGTCTGGAGCCATCGTACTAGTATTGATTTTATGAAGTCTAATAAAGGAAACGTCATAAGGAAACTAGTATCCACTTGGTACCTATGTGTGATCTACCGTCACGCAATAAGCGTGAGCTAGATTAAGGCCCATACATCCTCTTAGGTATCCCAGCAGTGGGAAATATTTAAAAGCTGATAAACATTATTTATATTACAATTTTATTGTCCACAGGTTATTATCGAATACAGCAAGATCTCAATAGTTCTAGTATTAAGAATTCGTAGTGGCACCTAATAAGCCATTGTGTTAGATAATTAAAAAGAAATCGACTTTGTTTTATATAAACCAAGATATTTGACTGCCTAAATACATATTTTTAAAAATGGCGGATTGGAGAGTTTAATGAAAGTCAACAGAGGCTAAAGTAACGGAAATAACAAGACAACTAATTGGTAAGTTTTAATATTACTTTGATTAAATATCTTATACCTAGTTATTTAAATGAAACACTTTTAACGGTTCCAAATGCGAAATGTATTATTTTTACTTATTAATATTGTATTATAAAAGCCACCCGAAGGTTCGCGTTTTAACTGTTAAAAGTGTTTTATTTAAATGCGTACGTACACTACGATAATACTGGGTATTTGTTTTTTTTTTCACGAAAAGTTTAAAACAAAAGCATACACAATACTATAAGAAGCAAGTATTTTAGGAAGATAATAAAAAGTGACAGGCGGTATTTATTTGTACCCACTTTTAACAACATACTGAAGCGTAGGCATATTATTGTAACGTTTTCGATTCTTCTTCTTTCTCACCATTTCTACAACATGCATACCTATACGTAGATGTCTTGCTTTTTCCATTCCAGTCAGTAGGCCTTTAACAAAATTTTTGAGTATTAACACATTTTGCGCGCTAAAGGAATCTAGAAAGCTAATTTAACTTACTGGTGTTTCAACTTAAATAAAACAACACAGTACGTAATATAATATAATTTATTTCTAACTAACCTTATATGTAAAGACAGTATGTATAGTAAATAGGTATAATGTAAAAATGTACCTATAGCACATTGAAAATACCAAACTTATAAGAAATATAAGGTTATCCTTGGTCCTAAATTAAGACTATGTCATAATTGTAAACGGCTCTTTTTTCCAAGAAAAACTGGCTTAAAGTTTCTCCCGATATACTGGTAAAATACAGTATAATACTTAGAAATACTAAAATACTACACTAATATAGGTTATTAAATATATATATACAATATTAAATTTTCTTTCAGGATATAAATTTATCGAACAATTCTTCACAAGTAACCGCAAAAAACGGATTTTTCCCAGTGCAAAGTAATTTATGACCTTTTTCGTCTGTAGATTTTGAATCTGTGATATATGTTAGATATTTTATATTGTAAATATGTACAGCTACCTGTAATTATAAGTTATTTAATTTATTGTAATCGTAAAGGAAAATATAATAAAACGTTAACTATATGCAGTTTTTAATTCATTAATGAATTTCGTTCATTAATTACAGCAGAATTCCCAGCTTTAATTAAAGATACTATCTTATAGAGTTATGCTTTTGACTATGATGTTAATTGAAGTAGACTAATCAGAAAGATACAAATTACAAATAACCGTTTAGTTTTAATTAAATAAAACTGTGACAGCTCATTTATGTTACGTAAACTTTTTTGACCGCCTCTGTAGCCGAATCATTAAACGTATTGCCTAGCATAGCGTTAAGCGCGAGAGAGCCTGAGATTCGAACCCAGAAGGTTCAAATCCCAGGGAAACATAAA